GCAGGAAAGAAGGAGGCTCTGCAGTTGCCCAGTGAGAGCTCGCTTAGGTGCCTGGGACCTGCATACAAGGACCCCCAGAAGTGGCTGTTCCTCTAGGAACATCAGAGATTAATTTCTAGGCTGACCACTGCTGTGATAGCAGTTGAGTTTTTCCTGTGTGTAGATCCTTGTCCCTTAGGTCCTCTCTTTGCCTGTATTTCTTGTGACTGTCATGCAGAGCTGAAGGAAACTGATACTTATAACCAAGGGCACTGGCCAAGGACCATACCCCATTGAGGGGGGTCCTGTCATGAGCTCTGACCTGGGGTCTGGGACCTTCATACATCATCTTGTTCAGCCTTCACACAAAGCTAACTCACTCACTATCTCTCTCTGCTTGGCTTTTTATACCTTGCCTCAACATCTTCTTTGGGCTGCAGATATCTTTGCTAGTTTCTGACTGCACAGTTCAGTAGGACCCTGTATAAGATCAGCTTAGAGGGTTCAGAAAGAACCTGTAGTGAATTCTGAATGATTCTGCTTCTGAAGTGAAGTGGTAGTACAGAGCTTCCAGAAGTCACTGATGGTGAGTCTGAAATACCCTGTACAATTTTACAAAGAATCTGTCTTCCTTATGAGACTCGTCTTCCCTTAATGAATAAAGATGTTCATGTATAATCTTGGAGAATGTTTAAGTTGAGAGGTGACAGATTTGTAGCAGGGAGCTGCTTGAGCATTAAAATGAACTCTTGGCTGGGCATGGTGGCTCATCCTGTAATCCCAGCACTTTGGAGCACTGAGGTGGGAAGATTGCTTGAGCCTAGGAGTTTGAAACCAGCCTAGGCAACATAGTGTGACCCGATCTCTACAACAAATTTAAAAATTAGCCAGGTGTGTTAGTATATGCCTGTAGCTTTAGCTACTCAGGAGGCTCGGGTGGAAGTATCACCTGATCCCAGGAAGTCGACCCTGGTAAGCTGTGATTGTGCCACTGCACTCTAGCCTGGGCAACAGAGTGAGACCCCAACTCAAAAATAAAAGAACTCTAAGTAGTGCCCATGGGTTGCTTGGGCTGATGTCATCATTATATCGTGAGCTGTGGCCACATGGGATATGCTCGGCTGGATTCTGGACAGAGGGAAAGTGATCAAGAGTGGTCCTTACCCCAGTTCTGCCACTGTATTATTCAGTTATGTCTCTTCCCCTCACTGGGCGTTTCTTGTTCCCACTGGTCAGCTAAGAGCATGTGTCCTCTCTGATGCCCTTGGCAGCCCCAGAGTATATTGGTTTTGTTACCTTTCTACTCAGTGATTCAAGCTCTTACTCCTAAAGGCTGATCATAGTGAGCCCCTCCTTGGTTCCTGGCATTTTATGGGCTTTTAATACATCTTGTACAGAACTGAGCTTCCATTTGTGTCTAAGCCACAACATCCAGGCAGAACTAGAACCAGATGTCAAGCTGCTTCTCAGGCCAGAGCAGGGGCTGGTTCTCCCCACAGCTGCTCCAGGGGCTGGTCAGGCAGCCCAGCTAGCACTTGACTGGACCATCTGAGACTTGCCTGAGCCAAAAACCCTGATATTCCTAGAGAAGTCTGGAGCAGAGACCAGCTACTCTTGGTAGAAGACTTTCTGCTGCTGCAAATATGGGCCAGGGTGACTCGGAGGGCCCTGACTAGTAGCTTAGGATTTCATATGAAAAGGGCACACTGTGAGAGGTGGCACCAGGGCCCAGGCCAACTGGCCTATTCAGACCCTATCGTATCCTAGCAGTTCCATTGACATGCTGCCCTGTGATTACAGACAGAGCCCCAGGCAGCGTGCTGGTCCTTGCTGGGGTTCTGTTCATGAGAGCTAGCTGTTAGGAGCATGTACTGTAACCAGGCAGCTGTCTCATAGCAGGAATGGCTTTGGGGGCTTAGCTGTGAAGTAGTAATCAGTTGTGCATTTTGTCTCTATTGCTGCATGGTGAGATGTTTACCTTCAGAAGCTCTACAGTTCACCAGATTAAGCCATTTAAATTGGCAAATGGATTTAGGCTGTGAGACACCTGATTTCTTTAAATTTAGGATAATATTTGGACACACCATGGTGTGATGGAGAGAGCATTCATTACCTTAGCCAACAGGCAGAGTTGGTATTCAGTGCTAGTCTCCACCATCTGGTACTTGGATGACCATGGGCAAATTACTGAACTGGCCCTGGCATCAGTTTTCTTAACTATAAAAGAGAGACAAAAGCAATGATAGTGACAATAATTACTATTTAACAACAATGGCAATAATAAATACATTATTGCTTAGTATGTCCATAAACTTACTGTGTTCTAAGCATTGTTCTAAGCCCTTGTATGCATTTGACTCTCATAGCAATTTTGTGATGTAGGTTCCATTATTTTCTGTCTTTTATAGATAAAGCAATTGAGTCACAGAGTGGGTAGGTAGCTTGCCTACTCTTGCCCAGCTAGTAAGTAATAGATCTGGAAGTCAAGCCTGGGCAGCTTGACTCTAGAGCCTATGTTCCTACTAATATTCTAGACTGTCTCATATAGAATCATGAGCATTGATGTAATAATATATGGAATAATACCTAGAAAAAAGTCTTGCTCCTTGTAGGTGCTAAAATGTGTTGGCCACTCTGCCTTAATCCCCTCTCTTCCCCCATACTGCTAAGCCAAGTCTTTGGACTCCTGCCTGTGGCAGTTAGGAATGACTGAGATCTCTGGCTGTGTGATCTGAACACAAAGTGTGGTGAAGGAAGGTGGTGTCACCGTTTCACAGAAGTCAGGGTGTCTCATCTGGACTATGGACTGGCCATTCCAGCAAAGTGATATGTGCTTATGAACATAGTGAGGGTCCTTCACCTTCTTCCTCTAGCAGGGAAAATAGTTGCCCTTTTACCCTTGCCTGGATTGTAGACCACTGACTCTGTTGCTCAGAAATGATTCATTTCGCTTATTGTTTGTTTTTACTCTTTTTGTCTGAGCTACACAGTGTCAGGACAAACTGGTCTGAATTTGAGGCCTCAGTGGCTGAGATGAGTCTTAAAAATGAGTGGTAGAGTGGGAGGCAGTGCCCAACACAAGCAGAATGTGGTAGGAAGGTGGAGAGTGGAGTCAGGGATTGAAGGTAGAATTATTCCACTCACAGTTTATCCCAAGTCCTAGCCTTGTCTCGTGGGTAGGATAGGCTGGGACAGGCGAGCCCAGGGACACAGGAACTGACATATGCATGTTCTTTTCACACCTTCTCTGTCCCTTTCTCCAGAGCGTGAGGAAGATTAATAAGGTTACCAATCCATTGAATTCAGAGTAAAAACTGTTCTTCAGAAAGTTATTTGAGCATTTCAGAAAGATGTTGAGGTTTGCTTGTTAATATGAAATATACACACACCTATGTCAGTGCCCAAAGTTGGTTAGAGTTTATTGACTTTCTCCCACATAAAGGGAACCTTTTAGGATGTTCTGTGCTGAAGACAGTGATGGAAATGGGAAGTTGTAAGATAGAGATGACCTGGTTTTTTGCTTTGGGAATTTACAAACCACATTGATGTATGTTTTTGCATTATAGGTTTGTCTACAGATTTTGACCATCTGAAGTTGACCCCTGACTCAAGCATTCTCTGCTGCTCCTCCACGCTTTGAAGAAATGTCTGTCACTTACGATGATTCTGTTGGAGTAGAAGTGTCCAGCGATAGCTTCTGGGAGGTAATGCCCATGCTTTCTTCCTGATGAATGCAGTGACCAGGACAATGGTGCCTGGCACACCTTTTGCGTTTTGGTGGGGCTGGAAGGATGAGATGAACATGCCCCACAACCAGCCCAGCGTTTGCGCTCAGATCTAGGTGACAGCAGAAAAGATGTGAATGCTTGTTTTGAGCCCATTCAGGTATGCATTAGTCATCAGTAGAGATGGTGAACTTAACTCGCAAGAAAAGTGTGACACTTTAAAGAGATTAGGGGTATTTGTGAAAGATCTTGTTAATCTGTCCATTCTTAGATCTTTTCGTGTTTAGCCATGGGTTACTGGGAGTGACATAGTTAATTGCTGGGCTTGAGGCACTTTACTTTCAAATTCTGTATAGAAACACAGATGGACCTGATGTAATATGATGCTGGACAGCACAGGCAAGTGACCAAAGGGCCAAAGAAGCCTCCCTCAAGCTTGTTGAAGCATCTGCCTGCCAGTCTGTGCCCATGAGAGGCTCCCTTTCTGATTAGATTATTTTGTGGGTTTTTTTTTTTTTTTTTTTTAAGTCATTCTTCCCAAGCTCCACTTACTTTTTCTGCATGCTGGTTAAAGGAAGGTCAATTTTTAAAATCAAATTTTGTCCCCATGGAAAAACCCCTGGAGCTTTCCTGGTTGTTATGTGCTTTGTGGAAAAGGCTTTGCAGTTAGAAAAAGCTGGGCTCTGATCCCAGCTATGCTATTACTAGCTGTGTGACTTTGGGTGAGTTGTTGAATTAATCTGAGCCATGGCCTTTATCTGTAAAGAGAGGGTACTTTTGACCTCCAAGGGAGACTGCCACCATCAGATAAGAAGGTAGGCGTCAGCACCTGTATAGGTGTTTTCCTGACATAGGAGGCTCTGGTGGTAGAAGAGATGAGGGTGATGTCTTGGCATTTGCTAGGGACTAGCATGAAGTATTTTAGAAACCTGAAGTAATTAGGTGTATAGTTTTGTCTGAAATCAAATACTATCTGATTACTGTCTAATAGAGGCAAGTGATCATATGTGCCCAAGTTTTTTAAAAAAGATGTGCAAGGAGCTCAAAATTCTATCAAAACTTTTTTTCCTTATATATTGAGTGAAAAGGTAATCATTGGCTTTTAGCTGAATATTTCATTTACTAAAAGTGTGTACTTACTGAACATTTATTGTGTGCTAGGTCCTGTGCAGGTAAGCAGGGAATGTGACAGACCGTGTCCCTGCCCTCAAGAAACCTTCAGAGCCATGGAGAACCTTTCTGATTTGTAAATGGAGTGATGTTGCCAGCTGATATAAATTAGACCCTGCCTTGGGCTCAGTGGGAGTGCAGACAGGATAAGCCTAATCCAAGGCCCCCTGTGAGTGATAGGTCTGGAGAGGCAACAGGAATAGGTGAAGCTATTGCTTTGGAGCCCATGGGCCTGGGTTTGACTCTTGGCCTCATCACTGCCTGTGTATGACTTTGGGCAAGTCCCAGATCTGTCAGATGGGGGTAATAATGGTACCCACATCATAGTATTGTTGTGAGGATTTAAGGAATGAATAAATACACGTGAGTGTGTAGGGTATCAGGACAGGTCTGGCTGGGGACTCTTCCTTCTGTGGGAGCTGGAGGGAATCAATGCAGACAGTCTACAATCTATTCCTGCAGTGCCTTTGACAACCTTGTTTTAATTACCTACTTGGTGGCAGAAACTGCTGAGATAATTTAGTAGCTAAATATAGTGCTATTCCAGGCATCTTCGGCTACTTATTTTTAAAATATAAGTTAAGACCAGGCTCAGTGGTACAGGCTGTAATCCCAGTGCTTTGAGAGGCTGAGGTGAGTGGATTGCCTGAGCCCGCAGGTTCGAGACCTGCCTGGGCAACTTGACGAGACCTCATCTCTACAATAAATAAAAAATTAGCTGGGTGTGGTAGCGTGCACCTGTAGTTCCAGCTACTTGGAAGGCTGAGATGGAAGGATCGCCAGAGCCCAGCAGGTCGAGGCTGCAGTGGCTGGGAGTGGCCACTGCACTCCAGTCTGGGTCACAGAGTGAGACTCCAACTCAAAAAAAAAAAATGTAAGTTAAACATTGCTAGTATATATTGTCTGCAAATATTAAAATCAAGTAGCTTTAACAAGTCCCACGCAGCCAGCACACAGATGGTTCCGGAGTGACCTATTCCACTTAGACCTTTTGGTGGGAAGGAGTAAAATTAAACACAAAAGACTTTTCCACCTTGAAATTCCAAGACTTTCTTTGGGGAAAGTTGCCTTCCAGGAGCCTTTGGTCATGACAGTTGGAAGGATAAGACAGATGCTGGGCAGGTCATCGTGCTAGATGCTGTAGGATGTGCTGGGGTTCCCCTGGAAGAGGGAACAGGAAAGGTAGTGTGGAAGAGAGGGACACTGGTACTTACCAAGCACTCAGATGCTTGCTAGATGACTGTATGTGGACAAGCACTGATCTGTGGGAGGAAAAATTACCCCCAGGAATGTAATCCTGAATAGAGCTATTTCGTGCATATTTGGAGGTGGTACTTCCTACATTGCTCAACCCTGCAGTAAGAGCTTTAGAAAAAAGAGGGGGAAGGAGTGTCCATATCCTACAATGAAAGTGTTTATAACATAGCTAGGAGGAGAAAGGACCATGGCTTCTGTGGAGTATGAAAACATTAGGTCCACCTCCAACTCTGCCTCTCAGTGACATGGCCTGCTGGGCAGAATCAGCAGAAGGAAGGGTAGGGCGAGGCCTTACATTGAGAGCAGTGGGAGGGAACAGCATTCCAGGCTGGAGCAAAGTCTGGAACCTGAGTGAGCATGATCTTGCAGAGGGCCGAGGACCTTGACCTCTTTGGATCCAAGTGCCGATTTTGGAACGGAATGGAAAATCATGCGGGATTAGGATGACTGAGGCCAGGTGGAGGCTCTTCCCCAAGTGGGCTGCTCCCTCAGCAAGTCAGAGTCTGGCACATCCTGCTCTCAGGCTTTCCAGTGGGGTGTGGGGCAGCTTGACTGCTTCTGGCAAGTCTTCCTGACTTGCTTGGGTGTCGCAGGTCTCCCACTGTGTTTCTGTTTCCAGGCCGTGCTTCTGGGTCCTCTCTCTGGGTCTGATGTACAGAGAGCCTGTGCTGTGGCCTGTGGGACTTCTCAGGTTTCAGCAGCTCTTCCTGGCCTTCCTCTGCCCTCAATGGACTCTGAGAGCATGGTGACAGGTCGATCCCCCAGCAGGACTGAGGGCTGCTGCCTGCATCTTTGTGGGCTCCTTAGGGGCCAGACTCCAATTATCTCTGGAACTGGACCCTGAGCCTGTCTCGTCAAACATTTCCTGAGGCAGGATTTCTGTAAGCTGTCAGCTGTATACACATTTAAAGCTTAGCTTTCCAGGATACACCCAGACTGGGTCTCACCTGTCTGTACTCTTGTAGGCACAGAGTCTTTGAGGAGAGGAATATTTGGGGATGAAGAGGATATAAGTATGTTGCTGTCATATATTCTGGGAATGTTAGCCCTAAAGAGAATTGACATGTGACTCACCATCTACTGTCCCCTTCCAGGAAGGCTCTCCCTGCAGGTTGTTTTCAGCTTGCTCTGAGTTGGGCTGGTTCTCCTCAGACTCCGGCACTGCAGAGACAACTCGTCACATGAGGACACCTATATTGACAGTTTGTCTGGAAACCATCCTTGTGGAGCAATGTGGACTTTTCCCATCCTTCTAGACCAGTTTATGGGCCATGCATTTAGAAGCTACTGCCACCCGTGTTCTTGGGCTCCACAAAGACTGATTTTCCACTTGCCACAGCCCAGATGCTGGTCTAAGTCCTGGGAACCTCAGATGAGGTACAGTCTCAAGCCCCCAAAGCCAGTGTTGCATGGTGAGCAGTTAGGAGGCAGCAGGGCAGTGCTGTGAACAGAAGCAAGAGGTGAGGGAACATAAACACCACCTTTCCCTCAGAGCAGCGACCCATGCTGTTTGTTTTCTAGCCACCCTCAACATATACTGACCCAGGCAGACTTTTTGGTATGATGGTCGTTGTGTGTCAACTCTACAAAAGCAATGGGCATAACGCCCACTTCCTTAGGCTCCTCATACAAATTGTGCTTCAGCTTGGTTATAATCTCACTGTGCTCAGACACAGCTCCCAGGAGGTTCATTGGCTGTCCCCATTAGTTTCACTCAGGTTTCTAAATATAGCCATCAGTGCTTTCTTCCCACCAAGCTAGTATCTGCTGAACCATGAGCAAGGATTAGAGCGTCTCCTCTTTCTCTACCTCGCTGCCAGGAAACTCATCCAGAAAAGAAACCCAGACAGCCCTGCCCTGGTGGGAAGCTTCAGTTTCTGCATCCTCTTCAAAATCAGACCACACTTTTTAGCATGACTAGGACACAAGCATGTGTTGGCAGCTAGCTGGACCACCTGCGCTTCCTGAGGCGCTCTGTCCTGGAAGATCTGAGCCACGTTTAGAGCTCCCGTCCAAAAGATCTGTGTCTTTCCCACTGCCTCCATCTCTTTTCCAGAAAGCTACTCTTCCGGGAAGCCTTCCCTGACTGCTCCTGGGTGGCTTAGGCAGCCTTCCCTCATGCTCATCCAGAGTGCTGTACCATCACTGTTGGCTTCTCTTTCTGTCTGTGAACTCCCTCTGAGCGTGGACATGTTTCTCACCTGACAATTTGAGTCTTAGCACAGTACATGACACACAGAATAATTGATTGAATGAATGAGGGTGTAAGTCAGAAAGAATGAGATTTAATGCTGGGTAATAAGACATGCCCTGCTCGTAAGAAACTCACAAATATTTGTATTTGGAGCTAATATATGTACACAGATAGACATAATACTGAGCAGAAGTCATTCTTTAAGTAAACATATGTAGGGTACCTATGTGTACCAGGTCCTATTCTAGGCCTTGAGGATACAGCATGTGAATAAAACAGACAAAAGTGATTTCTAAATGATCCTGATCAGATTATGTGTGGATTCAGAAGTCGGCTGTCCCTCCTGACTGGGTACACA